CCTTACTATGCAGCAAAAATACGTGTTGCATTATGGATCCATTTGAGTAGAAAGAAACGTATCTTCTTCTGTTTAACCGCTCCGAGGTGCTAGTAGTATGATTTATTGAATATCAGCGAAGCATATAACAATACAGTTGATAATGCAGCACGAATATTACAACAGTCGTGGTGGCTATCGTTTCGGCAAGGTTCGCCATCTTCAGGGCCTGGAAAGGTCAGATTGATTCGCGAATTATCAAATCAAAGGCCTTCATAACCCTAGCAGAAAACGTAAGAGATAAATTTTTGGGTCGCATAGAACAACTTCATAAATCATTGTTTTAGGTCGTTCAATTAATCATTGAAGAACCTTCAATGATTAATTGAACAACCTAAAACATCTAAGCGATGAGTCTTTTTGAAATGAAGTTTTCTATGCGACCCAAAAATATATCTCTTACTATATATCTCTTACTTTTTCTGCTAGGGTTATGAAGGCCTTTGATTTAATAATTAGCGAATCAATTTGACCTTTCCAGGCTCTGAAAATGGCGAACCTTGCCGAAACGTTAGCCACCACGACTGTTGTAATATTCGTGCTGCATTATTAACTGTATTGTTATATGCTTCGCTGATATTCAATAAATCATACTACTAACACCTCGGAGCGGCTAAACAGAAGAAGATACTGAATCATTCAAACTATGCCGAGGTTAATGGATAGTCGGACCTGGGATTTATCAAAAAGATACGGATGCCAATTAAGCCTCAAGAACGGGATTGTCATGCAGTCCAGAAACCTACTCTTTTCCATCATCTTTCTAAACATCATTTAATGAATTGCTCCTAAAATTTTCACTGAATTTGTTACCAAGGATTGCTAACGTTGTCTTTTGTTGGAGAAAAAAAAATGGCAAATGTTGCAACACCACGATATAAGTGGAAACAAAAAGACTAGGTCACGTATATATTGAAGAAAATTACCTTTTCATGCAGAATTATACACGATTTAGAGTAATGACACATGTGACGATATGGCCACTTACAAATGAGCCATTATAAGGCTTTCACATTACACATTGAATCTCTGGCTAGAGCACACTATTACTAAATGTATCGGAGATTGAGATATCGTGATAATTTCTTTGATCCTTTGGTCCATACATGTGGTCAGTTATGAGTACTTGTACAACCCGATGCACGTGTCACAAACGTAGTATTTACACGTTCCATTGAGTGAGATTATCATAAATGGTCAGTGATGTACACTCGATTGCTCTTGACTGGTATCGTCTAAAAAAAGTTTAACTTACGAGTGTTTTCTTAAGATCACGCTGAAAATTCAATGTGCCCGATAAACAACAAAGAAATAATAATTATCATGCATATTGAAATTTGAGCTCTTAAGATAACACTCGAAACAAAGGATCAAAATATCAATAAACATTAGCAAAACCATTCCTCCAGTACACCGCAGTAAAACCCTATTCAATAGGAGAACCATTAGATTAATCAATGGGGATCGAACTCCTGATGCGAAGCCTCAAGGCTCGACTCTTCGCAAAGTCGGAAATTTCGCACTCTTTGACGGCTCATTCCAGTTTGTGAACTTTCCAACAGTACTATTTCGCAGAAGTGGAGCACTTGGAACACCGCTGAAGGTCGTGTGGCGTACAAAAAAGCGACAATTCCCGAGGCGAAATCTCAAAGTTGAAGCGATTGCTGCGTAAGAAATTCTGCGGCACCTAGTAACACAAGCACTCCATTCTTGTTGAGAAGCCTTTCGGTGATTTCACTGCAACGTCGTAGTCCAAGCTCTGCAGAAGGCTTCAGGGCCTAACCGATGAGGTCATCTGAATCGATGTTCCAAAGTTCAAGTCTTTTATGGTTTAAAGTTTGCGGATTTGAATTTTCGCTTCAGTGCAGCAACACTACACCAAGCTCTTTTCAGAATTATATTGAAGTCTAGACCTTGGTGTGGACATGGGCCTAATGCTCAAAAGGCTGGTGTTCAAACTGAAGATTCAGGATTTTGTCACTGCTGTGTCGGAAATCTTTCTTATTCTCGAGAATCACTGGTACATTCTGATAACATTATAACAGTGTCAATACCAAATGCCACAGTGAGAGATTTCACAAGGCCCTGTGGCCTAATGGATAAGGCGTCGGTCTCCTAAACCGAAGATTCAAGGTTCGAGTCCTTGCTGGGTCGCAAACTTTTGGAATTTTTGTGAAAGGTTCGCTCCGGCTTACAAACATATCAGCAGGGTCATTTCAATGGTGAGGCGTTGTATCGGAACGCTTGCAGGCACTTTGGCTCAAAGGAACAGGCGCCAATCCGCCGAACAGAGGAATCAATGCTCAAGTAATTGAGAGGTTGGGTCTTTGCGGCATTTGACAACATTTTTTTTCCCTGTTTCAAAACAGTCTATAAACTTTTTTACTATTATCACAGATCACCACAGATCACACCATGTGAGGCTCTACAATTCAATGAATAGGGTGCCGGTCTCCAAAATCGAAGGTCCAGGGTTCGAATCCTTGTTGAATCAAAATTTTCCCGGCCATTTGGGGATTTTTCGTACTTATTTTCAAACATTTCAGTAATGCCTTTTCATTATTATGCCTCATTTCAACCCTTGAGAGATCGCGTAGTGCATTTTTCTGCCACCGATTACAACGCGCAGCGGCGGGCAGTATGTAGTAGCACCTCTGAGACGGTAATATGGGAATTTACTTGACACGTTGAGCTTCGGAGGGCGCATTATCGTGATCAGAATGTAATGTCACGGAGAAGACTTAATAAAGAGTTTTTTATTATGAACAACGGCCCTGTATAGGGAGAGTGTACAGCTCAATGATGAGAGATGCTCTGCAGCTTGCCAGCTTCGCCAGTTGGGCAGGCCCTTTGTCTTTTAGTCAATCTTCTTGGCGGAAATCCTACCGCCTACACAGAGAACGCACAAACGTAGTATTCACACGTTCGATTGAGTGAGATTATCACTAAATGGTCAGTGTTGCACACTCGATTATTCTTGATTGGTATCGTCAAAAAATCATACCTCAAGTTACGAGTGTTTTCTTAAGACGACGCTGAAAAATTCAATGTGCCTGATATACTACAAATGAATAATAATTATCATGCATATTGAAATTTGAAAGTGGTCTCAAGAAAGCACTCAGAACAAAAGGATTGAAATATCAATGAACATTAGCGTAACCAATTCTCCATCAAACCTTTGTAAAACCCTATTTAATTGCAGAATCATTAGCCTAATCAGTGGGGTCGAACTCCTTGATGCCAAGCCCAAGGTCGACTTCGCAAAGTCGAAAATTTTGCAATCTCTTTGGCGGGCTCAATCCGGTTTGCGAACATTCCAACAATACTAATCCGCAAAAGTGGAGCAGTTAGGAAACCGCTGAAGGTCCTGTGGCGTAATATGTAAGGCGACAGTTTCCTCAAGCGAAGACTCAAAGTTGAAGTGATTGCTGGATAAGGAATTCTGCAGCACGTCGTAACGCTCCATTCTTGTTAACCATCCTCTCAATGAAATAACTACAACGCTCTAGTCCAAGCTCTTCAGAAGGCCCCAGGGCCTAATCGATAAGGCGTCGGTCTTCCGAATCAGTGTTCCAAAGTTCAAGTCATTGTATGGTTAAGAGTTTTGCGGATTTAGCTGAGTTTTCGTTCCAGTGTGGCAACATTACACCACTCTCATTTCAAAATTATGTTGAAGTCTAGACCTTGGTGTGGGCATGTGGCCTAATGCCTAAAAGGCTGGTATCCAAACTGAAGATTCAGGATTTGTGTCCCTGCTGGGTCGGAATTCTTGCTTATTTTCAAAAACCTCCGGTCCATTTTGATAACATCATGATGTATCAACTCACCAAACGCTACAGTAAGAGCTTCCACGAGGCCCTGTGGCCTAATGGATAAGGCGTCGGTCTCCTAAACCGAAGATTCAAGGTTCAAGTCCTTGCTGGGTCGCAAACTTTTAGACTTTTTGTGAAAGGTCCACTTCGGCTTACAAACATTTCACAAATGCCATTTTAATGGTGAGGCACTGTATCGGAAGCTTGCAGGCCCTGTGGCCTGATGGAACACGCGCCAATCCGCCAATCAGAGGAATCAAGAGGCAAGTAATTGATAGGTTTGAACTTTGCGGCATTTGACAACAATTTTTTGCTTGTTTCAAAACATATTTCTATACCTTTTTGCTATTATGCCACACACACCATGTGAGGCTTTATAATTCAATGAATAGTGTGTCGGTCTCCGAAATCGAAGGTTCAGAGCTGGAATACTTGTTACGTCAAAGTTTTTCCGGCCATTTTGGGATTTTTCATACTCATTTTCAAACATTTCAGTAATGTCTTTCCATCATTATGCCGCATTTTAGCCCTTGAAAGATCGCGTGGTGCATTTTTCTGCCACCGATTACCGCGCAGCGGCGGGCAGTATGTAATGCACCTCTGCGACGGTAATATGGGAATTTACTTGACACGTTGAGCTTCTGAGGGCACGTTATCGTGATCATAATGTGATGTCACGGAGAAGACTTAATAAAGAGTTTTTTAATTATAAACGACGGCCCTGTATAGAGAGAATGTACAGCTCAATGATGAGAGATGCTCTGCAACATACATGATAAATCAATCGATGGACGAAGCATGAATTCTATGCCCAATGCTCACCAATCCTTGCAGTTCTCCTATGTCGGTGAATTGGTACCACAATTCGTGGTAGAATAGCAGCGCTAACTTCTTACATCGGTAGGTCACCGCACGTCACTGTATAGGCCACAAGTGCATTGATTGCATCAACTCAAGCGATGCGAGATGAAGACAAATGTAAGGCGCGTACTTCAGACACTGATCAACATCGAAAGTCCAACATTTTTTATCCGTGACCACCTATAAGGAACAACGGGAACTACGGATAATGGAAATTTCGTACAACGAATAGTGAGTTCGTCCAAACGGACGTCCTGAGAATGCAAACATGGCAATATTACTTTTTGTTTATATTTATTTATTTACGCGACTCGTTATCACAGTTCTTATTGCGCGGATACCAGTGCTTCTAGCATTCGATTCGTTTTTCGTCTTCTTCTTAAATGACGCAGAATACTGATCGGGCATGTCTCCTTGGAATCTCGAGGATAACCTGGTTGCGGCGTTTCATAGGGCGTTCTTGTTGACTGCCGAAGAGGGTTGGAGGGTGAGGGGGGGGGGGGATGGAGCGCGGTTCTCTGTGCGCTGCGGCGAGCATCACAATCACTCGGCCAGGGCGTCCCATACATTATAATAACAATATTAAACGATAATATGCACACAATTATAGCGTGATGTTATATGACGATCACGTAATAGGAGTAAAAGATAAATTCGCAACTGATGATTTTGTAAGACCCTAGTGAAGTGATCCGAGGATGGTAGAGTTTTGTGTAATAATAAACGATAGATGAAACAGGATGATAGAATAGATGAATAACAAGTACGTAATAGGGGTGAGATCTCAACAAGCAAGCAACTGCAAGCAGTGAGAGCCACATCAAGA